CTGCAAAGGTCTGGTGGCTTTTTAGAAACAGTAAAAGGCCATGTGACAGGAACAAAAGAAATGAGGGGGCGACAGACAGAAACATCCATGATGAGAGAGAATCACTGATCAGCTGCCTCCTGCACGTTCCCTACTGGGGATGGAGCCTGCAACCTGGGCCTGTGTCCTGACCAGGAATTGACCGTGACCTCCTGGTTCATAGGTCAATGCTCAACCACTGAGCCATACCAGCTGGGCCATTATATATAGTTTTATAAGCACTGATCTAGGAAAACATTTTCTGGATAACTTTGGCTTTTCCCCCAGTTTAAAATCTTCTTTCTATTGTACTGACTGAGACGGTGTTGAACTCCTTGCTATTTGCTCAAAGACATTTTTATCTTAAAATCCTGGAAGTCTGAAGTCACGACACTTTGTTCTTTGTTCTTTTGTCCGCCCCCAACATATTTTGCTGCAAACGTTGTCATCATCAAGGTGCAGCCCACTGGCTTTGTAAGTGGTTTGTGACTTCCTTCTGCTCCTGGTATTCCAGTTCTATTTAGGTCCATTAAAGGGAGCATGTGGGCTTGACAATTTGTCACCAAGATTCAGGTACACCTACCTCATTACCAAGCCCCCAAAGTTCAGTGATGATGCTACATAGAATTGTGGCCATAACAAGTATTGCAGTTATCTACACTAAATAAAAGAGAAACATGCAAATTGGTGTCACTCCACTACACCTACCAGCCAATCAGGATGAGTATGCAAATTAACTGCCATCAAAGATGGCAGTTAATTTGCATATGCAGGCACAGAGAGAAGACTGAAGGCTCCAGCCCGAGCAAAGACTGAAGACTGAAGACAACTGAAAACTGAAGAGACTTGGCTTCTCTGCTGTGGCCAGAGCAAAGGCCTGGGTCCTGGGTGCCAGAGGAAAACCAGTGCTGGCAGCCAGGGGAAGGAAGGCCTATTGCACGAATCTCTTCATGCAACAGGCCTCTAGTATACTTAATAAAACATCACATTTGATCATGAATTAAATCACTTTGAGTAATTTTCATGCTGCTCCCTGTTTACAGTCCAGAAAGTTCTGTTTTCTTCTAGAAAATCTAATAACTTCAATTGTTATGTGTTTCCCATGAAAAGGTAAAAAACAAAAAGTGCAAACATTTCTAGGTGTGTTAATATTCAAGTAACAATGTTTACTGGGTTTGAAAATAATCTGGATAATGAATATAAAAACATAATAAAACTTCTTTTACAACCAAACTATTAAAGACTATTAAAATGACAACACCAGCTTATTGTTAGGTGATGGGGATTGATTATTTAAGCAGAGGGATTTCCCATGAACTGGTAAATAAGATCATGCTAGCCAAAAATAGTCTCCTAAATGGCTTTCTTTTCCATTTTCCCCCTTCATTCTTATTGTTGACACTATTGCAAATGTCCCCATTTCCCCCCAACTGGCCACCCTCCACTAAATGGTTTTTGATGTTTAATTGATCTTTCTGTTGAGATAGGTAAGGAAAGTTTTACAATTTGAGATTATTATTGAAATATTTTATTTCACCACTGAAGTCAATCAACAGTTTTTTGGTTTTTAACTTTTTAAGTTTTTCATTGGTTTGTTTGTTTTGTTAGTCCTCACCTGCAGCTATTTTTCCATTGATTTTTAGGGAGAGTGGAAGAGAGAGGGAAAGACAGAGAAACATGGATGTGAGAGAAACACATACACTGGTTGCCTCCTGCATGGGCCTGGACTAAGGCCTGGGCCTGCAGGAGCCTGCAACCAAAGTACATGCCCTTGACTGGTATCAAACCGGGGACCCTTCGGTCCTCAGGCCAACGCTCTATCCACCGAGTCAAACCGGCTAGGGCTTTAAATCATTTTTTTAATGAAATGTTCCTCTGGGGTCTGTTTTCCTCTGGTTTAAATTGGATGGGGTGGGCATGGGATTCCTCCACCAATTGTTTGCTTTAAACCGTATTCCCTTTATTGTTCCCAGACAATCGTTCGAGGAAACAAACCCTGCCAGGAATCCTCCATCAACGGCCTTCTGGAGGATTTCGACAACATCTCGGTGACCCGCTCCAACTCCCTAAGGAAGGAGAGCCCGCCCACCCCGGACCAGGGCGCCGCGGGCCATGGCCCAGGCCACCGGGAAGAGAACGGCTTCATCACCTTCTCACAGTATTCCAGCGAATCCGACACCACCGCCGACTACTCCACCGACAGGTACCGCGACAAGAGTCTCTATGGAGACGATCTGGATCCGTTTTATAAAGGCAGCCATGCGGCCAAGCAGAATGGGCACGTGATGAAAATGAAACACGGGGAAGCCTACTATTCTGACATGAAGCCTCTGAAATCCGACCTGGCCCGATTCCCCATCGATTATCACACACACTTGGACTCACTGAGCAAACCCAGTGACTACAGTGACCTCAAGTGGGAGTACCAGAGAGCCTCGAGCAGCTCGCCTCTGGATTACCCGTTCCAATTCACGCCTTCCAGAACTGCAGGGACCGGCGGCTGCTCTAAGGAGAGCCTGGCCTACAGCGAGAGTGAATGGGGGCCCAGCCTGGATGACTACGACCGGAGGCCGAAGTCATCGTACCTGAATCAGACCAGCCCGCAGCCCGCCATGCGGCAGAGGTCCAGGTCGGGCTCGGGGCTCCAGGAACCGATGATGCCCTTCGGAGCAAGTGCATTTAAAACCCACCCCCAGGGACACTCGTACAACTCCTACACCTACCCTCGCTTGTCCGAGCCCACAATGTGCATTGCCAAGGTAACGTCCTCTGCCTCCTTGCCTCCAGAGTGGGGGACCCTCCACCAAGGTGGTGCGAGCACCGCCTTCTTATATAGTCAGATTCTCAAGTGCTGGGTTGCCTTGTAAGTGAGAATTCATATGGAAATTCTGATTTCCATCCCCCAGCCCCGAGAGCCGAAAATTTAGGGCAAGACACATTTATTCATTAAAGTAAAGGTCTGTGGGGGATCGTCTATGGGGTTTCTAGTTAAAAGGCAAAAAACCGTGTTTATTTGAAAGAACTTAGTACAACATGAGCACATCGCATTTATCGTAACGTCTCTGTGAAGGAGTACATGATTGTAGATCGTTAGATGGAATAACACAGTGGTTCCTGCATTCTGAAAAAGTTTATGTGGCTCTGCTGAAAAGGAAAAAAAAATCAGGATAATGAGGTAAGTTTTTAATAAAGTTAATTTTATTCCACTTGAGGGACAATTCTTCATTTGAGAGTATGTTCTTTCTATTATTGTTGTCTTGAGATATCTTTTTTTGTTTGTTTTAAATTTGGGGATGATAGATAGAAGCTGGTTGCTGGGCCTTTTTCTGTGCTTTTTATTTTATTTTGTTTTGTTGTAACTCCTTTGTTGGTTAAAAAATAAGTTTAAATGTCAGCTGCTGCAAATTCTCTTTGAAATTGGGGACCACTGTTGTAGAAGTTCCTGAACCTGAACGTACTCACTTGGAAAAATACCTTGGAGAGTGTGCAAGTGGTTTATTTTCCCATGGTAACTTAGAAATGTTTCTGCTACCTCAGCTGTATAGCAAAGTGAAAATGGGGCATTTGGTGATGGGCTGTGGATTCCATAGAGGTCTCAGACTAGTTGAGAGGGACGTGACTTCTAGTAGCGTGATCATGTATGCTGTACCAAATGCTCTCTCTTCAGCAGCTTGATGGGAGGCGAGCTCTTGGGGGATGTCCCCTTGGGGGATGTCCGACTGCTTGTTTTATTGATTGTAGATAGTCAATATTTTTCTTTGCTTACTATTTCTCATAAACCCAACCCAATGTGTTGAAGTCATTTAGGGACATGCTAGTAGTGACTTTAACCATACTTTAGAGAGGAAAAAAAAAACAACAGCAAAAACTCTCACTTTAGTTTCCAATACATAAAATGAGAAACAAAGACCTGAAATATATACATCTAGTTAAAATTTAAATATTGAGAATGTTTTTCATCTCACTATGTGAGTTATTTGAACTCCCATGATCAAGGTATCATGACTGCCTTTACTTCTTATGTTTTTACCAGGGCAATTGTTGGAAAGAGGTCTGTCTAATTGACCAACACAAAAAGCTCATACACATGATGTATGAGATAGTTTATTAGATTTCCTGTGCATATCACTCACCTGAGGGAACCCCTTGGTAGTTCTAGAGTGAAATAAGGGAATCAACACATACCATAGCTGAACCTGGTAACATCCGCAGGTTTGGAACAGCAGTGGTTACTTTATGTAACAGTAAAGAATGTTTTTCTGCTTCACTGAGGTATAATTGACAAAATTTAAAGATAATTAAAATTTACAACATGATGATTTGATATATGTAAACATTGTGAAATTCTCTTCCAACATAATTAAGACATCCATCACCTTACATATTTACTTTTATCAGGGGAAGAACATTTAAGTTCTAATCTCTTTGCAGATTTCAATTATACAGTAGAATTCTATCATCATCATGTTATACATTACGTCCTCAGACCTCATTCATCTTATTACTAAAGATTTGTACCCTTTTCCAACTTCTCCCTCCTCACCCTTGTCTCTGACAATCACTTTTCTATTCTCTGTTTTGATTTCTACCTTTTTAAAAAAAAGATTCTACATATAAGTGATATTTCACTTACCATAATGCCTGGCTGGTACTCTCATTTATTGCAAATGGCAGAATTATTTCTTCTCTTTTAAGGCTGAATAATATTCTATTGTATATATATTTTCTTGATCCACATTTTATTGAACCATTCATCTGTTTATGGACACATGACTTGTTTCCATACCTTGACTATTGTTAATAGTGCATTGGTCATGGGGGTATAGTTATCTCTTCCACATAAAGATGATGTTTCCTTTGAATATATATCCAGAAGTGGAAGTGCCAGATCAGATGGTAGTTTTATTTTTAATTTCTTGAAAACCTTTATTCTATTTCCCATAGTGGCTGTACCAGTTTACATTCCCATCAATAGTTACAATGGTTCTTTCCCCTCACATCCTTGCTAGCATTTTAAATCTCTTGTCTATTTGATAATGGCTATCCTAACAACAGAAAGATATCTCATTGTGGTTTTGATTTATAGTTTCCTGATGATTAGTGATGAAGAGCACCTTTTTATGTATCTGTTGGAGATTTGTATGTCTTCTTTAGAAAAATGTCTATTCAGATTCTTTGCCCATTTTTTTAAATTGGGTTATTTGTGCGTTTTGTGGTATGTGTGTTTTTCTAATTGTTTGAATTACTTGTATATTTTGGATACAAATATCAGATATTTGTATCAGATATTTGGTTTTATCTTTATCAGATGTGTGGTTTACAAATATTTTCTCCCATTCCATAGGTTGCCTTTTCATTTTTGTTGATAGTTTCCTCTGCAGAGCAAAACTTTTTTAGTTTAATTTAGTCCCACTTGTTTATTTTTGCTTTTGTTGCCTTTTCCTTTGGTGCTAAATCCAGAAAGTTATTGCCAAGACCAATGTTGAAAAGCTTGTCCCCTATGTTTTTTTCTAGGAGCTTTATGATTTCAGGTCTTACATTCAAGTCTTTAACCCATTTTTAGTTGATGTTGTGTATGTTATAAGATTAGGGTCCAGTTTTATTTATTTTTTTTACACATGGCTAATCAGTTTTCCCAGCATTATTTATTGAACAGACTATTTTTCCCCATTGCATATTCTTATATCCTTTATCATAAATTAATTGACCATATTTCTGGGCTCTCTATTTATTACACTGATCTATGTGTCTGTTTTTATGCCAATACTATACTGTTTTGATTATTCTTACTTTGTAATATAGTTTGAAATCAAGAAATGTGACACCTCCAGTTTTGTTCTTCTTTCTCAGGATTATTTTGGCTATTTTGGATCAAATATGATTTGTGTGTGTGTGTGTGTGTGTGTGTGTCATGCTCACATCTCCAATAATAAGAGAAAGCACAAATCTCATGTAAATCTTCAGATAGAGCAAAAATGAGGAGGTGTGTGTGGGCGTGTATTTGACATGAGTTTGACAACATTTGGCCAAATTGAAAAAAAATACTGTTAACCCACAATTTAAAAAAACACCCAAAACCCTCCTCCAGTGTGTTCTACCTACCTAATTTTTCTATTAATGTAACAGGAATCGAGGATGTTATGACATCCGTAGATATTGGCATGCATCTTCCTATTTTTGAATGATTTACTGGGGCTTAAGCAAAAATTAAGAAAATATAAAACCAGCTCTGGCTGGGTGGCTCAGCATCACCCTGTGCACCAAGAGGTTGCAGGTTCGATTCTGGGTCAGGGCACATATCCAGGCTGTGAGTTCAAACCCCAGTCAGGGCACCTACAGGAGGCAACCAATCAATGTTTCTCTCTTCTCTCTTTCTCTCTCTCTCTCATCCCCTCTTTCTCTCAAATCAATAAAAAAAAAAACCCACATATCTTTATATGCATAACTCATGGACACAGACAATAATGTGCTGAAGGACTATGAGGGGTGGAGACAGGGTGGAAGGAGGCAAAGGGGGAAAAGTGAGGGACATCTGTAATAGAATCAACAATAAGAAAAAGAACAACATATCATCCGGTGAGGATTTACAAAGGAAAGATGAAGCCAAACAAAAGCCATGTAGTACCATGCAGCCCTCAGAACTATCAAAAGGGCCACATGTGGAGGGAGAACACTTTCCACCCTCCCCTGCAGGCAAGTCTGCCGCATAGGGAGGGAAAATAGCTGGAGATATTGTCCCCAGGCATTTGTTTTTGCTCATTCTGATGCTCTCCAGGTACCAAGCAGCTGCCGGCTAGAGTGTCTTGTCTGGCTCAGCACATCCATTCGCTGCTCTGTCTCCAACCCCGAGAAGCCCTCAACAAAATCACAGCTCTGCCAGTTCTGAGCACTCTCTGTGCTGCCTTGCACTGCGCAGCCCTGTGAAGCAGGCTCTTTTGCCCTCTTCATCCAGATGAGGCTTTGAGAGGCTCAACAACAGCTGGGTCAGTCAGCTCAGAGCAGAGCTGGGACCCAGCTTTCTAGGCTCAGCCCCTTCACCGACATTGGCTACATCCCTGAATGGCTTAGGAATAGCCTCTGTGGGCACCAAGCCTTACAGGCTCCTTTTGACACCTGCAGCAACGAGGTTCCCCTTGGGTTGCATCATCCTGTCTAACTCTATAGCGGGATTTCTCAATCTTGCCACTATGCACGTTTAGGGCCTGATAATTCTTTGTTGTGGGGGGCTGTCCTGGGCGCTGTAGGGTGTTTAGTAGCATCCCTCACTCATAACAACCAAAATGTCTCCAGACACTGCCAAATGTCCCAGCGGGGCAGGCGGAACAAACGCAGCCCCAGTTGAGAACAACTGTTCTATGGCTCCTGCTTCTCCAGGACTTTTTGGCAGCTAAGGCTCCCAGAGTTTGAGTCCTGATATTGTCCCTTATAACTGGGTGGATAAACTGCTTGCCTGTGCCTCTACTTCTTTATCTATACAATGGGGATAAAGAGCATCCCTGTCTTATCATGTTGTGTGAGCGTTAAGTCAGTAATGCACAGAGTCTATATGCATCAGTCTACGTGTGTAGTAGGTGGATGGATGGCGGCTGTGATGTGGTGCTGAGGGTGACTCCGTGCCAGCACTGTGCTAAGCATCTTGTAGACAGTAACCAATTTAGAAGAACTCAAAGCTCATTTCTTTTACCATCAAGAAGCTGAGACAGTCCAGCCAGTGTTGCTCCGTAACTGAGCATCGGCCTATGATCCAGGAGGTCACAGG